ACCATCCCCAACCCAGCTCACACTTCGTGTTCGCGAGAGTAGCTTCGCAAAAGTGAAGAAGGAAACTAGAAAACACTGAAGCTGCAGAAAAACCAGATTTTTCCAAGCTCAAAACATCTCGAAGCCTACCCGAAACTCACCCGAGCCCTCGGGTCTCCAAACCAAACATGCACACAAGTAAACATCATATGAACTACCTCGCGCGATCGCAAAAATAACACCTAGAACTACGAATTTAGCACCAAATCAAATGAAATTTTCAAGAAAACTTTGAAACTTCTAATTTCTCAACCGGACGTCTGAATCATGTCAAACTAACTCCGTTTCTCACCAAATTTCATAGACAAGTCTTAAATATTATAATGGACTTGCACCGGGCTTCGGAACTAAAATACGGACCCGATATCAACCAGACCAAATATTAATCAAATTCATAAAACGATTAAACTTTCAGTCTTTCAATTTTCAAAAAAAATTCATATCTCGAGCTAGGGACCTCGGAATTTGATTTCGGGCATACACCCAGGTCCCAAATTTTGATACAGATCCACCAAAACCATCAAACTTGGGAGGTTGGTCAGGTTCATTTAGGAAAGATTTCGGGTTGATTTAGGCCCTTTGATTCTTGGCTTAGAAGCCTAAATTGATTATGTTGACAAATGTTTGAATTTTGTTAAAACAACCCTGGAACAGTCTTTTAGTGGCTCTAATAGCTTTGTATCGCGATTTTGGACTTGATCGTGTGCTCGAAATCAAATTCTGAGATTCGTAGGTTGATTTGTGTTGTTTTGCCAAAAATTATCAATTTGAGGTTTAGAAGTTTGACCGTAGGTTGACTTTTGGCTATCGGGTTCGGAATCTGGTTTTGGGACTTGAAATAGGCCTGTTATACTATTTAGAACATGTCTGCAAAATTGTCATTTAAAGTTGATTTAATAGGATTCGGACGCTTGGTTGCAATTCTAGAGGTTCTTGAACTTTACTTTCAAATTCGTGCGTCTTGATGTTCGAGACATAGTTCTAAATGTTATTATTGTGCTTTGATCCCGCGAGCGAGTTTGTGTGATATATTTTTACTTGTTTGGAATATTTGTTATCGATCCCCGAGGGCTCGGATGAGTTTTGGACGTAATTCGGAATGGTTTGAACTAAAACAGGAATTTCTGGTGTGTTGTTGCTCTGATGTCGCAATTGCGAGCACCTATCTCGCATTTGCGAACATAGCATGGGGGGTCTTAGGAGTCGTAATTGTGATACCTTGTTCGTATTTGCGAAGATTAGGCTTAAGCTTGGTAGCTTCCAATTTCAATGAGGTGGTCGCATTTGTGAGGAGGCAAACTTCGCAATTGTGAGGTCTGTGTCACATTTGCGGTACCTCCTGGGCTGGAAGTTGCTGCATTTGCGATAAAGTCTTTGCATTTGCGAGGATTCACAATTGTAAACCCAGTATCGCAATTTGCGACATCTCCAACTGAATACAAGTTGAAAAAGTCGTGATTTTAGCCTCATTTTCATATTTTAGAACCCTAGACTCGGTAGGAGGAGATTTAGAGAGGGGATTTTCATATACAAATATTGGGTAAGTGATTCTAATCAATTCCAATTATATTTCATGATTATATCTTAGATTTAACATCAAATTTATGAGAATTAAAGAGAAAAAAAATGTGAAATTTTGTTAAGTTTTTGAAAAATGAAGAATTGAGTTTTGAGAGTCGATTTGGACTCGGATTTGAAAACAAAACACATATATGAACTCGTGGGTTTATGGATAGTCAGAATCTACCCTTGGCCCGAGTTATGACCGGCAGGGCTCGGGGTTGACCTCTTGGGAAAAGAGTAAACAACATAACTTTATTTATTGTAATTAATTTCTCTTGCATTGTCTAATGATAATAAGTCATTTTTGTTACATTTGAGCCCTGTCAGGTGAATTTTAGAGGAAAAGATATATTCGAGGGTTGATTTGGCCTAGTTGAAGTAAGTATCTTGCCTAACTTTGTGTGGGGGAACTACCCCTTAGGATTTGGGTTGATTGTGCTATTTGTGTTATGTGGAAGACGTGTACACGAGGTGACGAGTGTGTACACGGGCTATATGTGGTATTTTATTGATTTAGGTTATATATACTATTTCCATGCCTTTTAATTGAATTTTCATAATATGTTACATCTTTCATTGTTAGTCTACTCTTACATATGTTAGTCCACTCTTACATGCCTTATTAGACATTGTTAGCACTTGTTGTACCTCTTACTTGTTATATTTTATCTCACATGTTTTAATTGAAGTTGTTACTTTCCTTATTGTCTTGTTACCTCTTTATTATTGAATTACTCTTACTTGAAGTTGTAAATCGTGGAGTTTCTTCTTGTTGAGTTATTGGTATTGAAGTTGTAAAAGTCGTTATCATTTTGAGGTGAAGCTGTTAATTGTTGACGATCATTCCTTGTTGAATATTCCTCATTCATCTTGTTGTTATTGAGATTATTGAAAATATTATGATCGATCCAAGGGCTACTTGTTGTGGAAATATTGGCATTGTTCACTTTATTCGGGAAGGACATTGTGGTGGTCAATGCCTTGAGTAGATAGGCGGAGAGTTTGGGCATTTTGACATATCTACCCGTAAAAGAGAGGCCACTAGCCCTGGATGTTCAGGCCTTGGCTAATCAGTTTGTTCGATTGGATATTTCTCAGCCTAGTCGAGTTCTTGCTTGCGTGGTTTCTCGATTTTTCTTATATTAGCGCATCAGAGAGCATCAGTATGACGACCCCCATTTGCTTGTTAAGGACACGGTACAACACATCGATGCCATTGAAATTTCTATTGGAGATGATGGGGTATTGCAGATGCAGGGCCGATCAGTACCCAATGTGGATGGATTGCATGAGCTGATTCTAGAGGAGGCCCACAATTTGTAGTATTCCATTCATTCGGGAATACAAGGATTTGAGGCAATACTATTGGTGGAGGATAATGAAGAAATATATAGTGGAGTATGTAGCTTGGTGCCTAAACTGTTAGAAGGTAAAGTATGAGCATCAGAGGCTGGGAACTGAGTCACTGATTTAATAGCAACAGGGGTAATGGGAGACCCTTTCACAACTACAACAGGCTTGCTTGGCATCCCTGGTACCACCAACTTTGGCTTTTTCCGACTTGCCCCGACCCCGTTCGAAGACCCTTTTACAAACATCACACGTTTTCTAGATACCTCATCTTGCTCCACAATCTTAGCGGGTTTTTTAATTTCAACGGGAGGACCGAAATGAGGAGTGCAACAGTATGGATCCGAGGTCTTGAAAGTTGGTTTTGTAGCGTAGGATTGGGCATCAGGAACTTTGAACAAGGTTTCACTAGAAGATAGAGGGATGGTGGCATGGGGAGGAGCTGCAAAAACGGGACTAGTTAATGACGCGCGATATGAAACTATATTGGCGGGTGGAGCATGAAAAGGCTGGGACAAGGTGCCAGGGTAGTTGTGGCAAGGGGTAAAGCCTGGGGCATGTTGTGGGGAGAGATTAACAGCATTGGGAATCTGGGATTGTGATGGTAGTAGGACGGAAGCAAGATTTTCAATGTAGTTGGTGGGGAATGAGGGTAGAGGATGCCCACTAATCCAAGCCTGGTACATCTCTATTATCTGGCGTTTCAACCTTCGGGCCTCTTCTTTCAACTCAAATTCCGATTCCACAACACCTATGTCCGATCCCTTACTAGTCATGGCTGTTTTGCTGTTTGACCTAGCGTGTATGGATGACTCGCCCAAATACCACAAACTAACCACCTTCCTGTGATTAATAACAAGGATAACAAGGAGGAGCAAAATAGAGCCAACATGTTAGCGTTAGGGCATTTATCAGGTAATAATATCACATTGCGTGCAATGCACCTAGCAACAATTAACGGTTCTAGAATGACTTCGAGGTCACAAGGTCATTTGGCATCATCCCAATTTTGTTCATTTCAATCATCTCTTTTCTAGCACTTCTTGGCTTGCTCATTTTCCTTCCTTTTTTTCTTTCTAATTATCACTCTTTTCTTTCCTCTCATTTCTCACGTCCCACAACTTCACCCTCTTTTTTTTCTTTTCTCTTTCTTTTTTTTACTTCTTTTTTTTTGATTTTTTTCTTTTAATAAAAAAAATGATTCGATCGAACCCTATGTAGGTTGCCTACGTATCACGACGCTGCATGAATCAGATCTTTGCGTAGTTCGGGAAGATCGGGAACAAAGTAAACAAACTAACGTTCTCTTTTTCTTTTTTTTTTCCTTTTTTTCTGTTTTTACCTTAATGATTACACTAGCGAGAAAAGGGAAATAAAAGAAGCAAAACCTTTTTTTTGTTGAATTTTATAGACTTAATGTTCTATATCCTATTCTAAACTCAAGCTTAAACGAGCAAATATTTTTTCCTCTTTTTTTTTTTTTTGAAACAAATACTCTATGGGAATTATTCAGGAAAAAACCCTACAAGAGAATTTTTTTTTTTTGATTCTTTTTTATAAGAAGGAAATCTAAAAAATAAACCAAAGAAATATATTTTGATTTTCACTTGATATCCGTGAAGAAAGATTTCGTAAAGAGAAATGAACAAGATAAAAAAATATTTTTGGATTCAGTTTTTGATTACCTAAGGAAAAAACTCTAAAGATAAACCAAAAATAAAGTATGTTATTTTTTCTTCTACGTGCAATGTCCTAAAGTTGTAGTAAAAAGAAAAAGATTTTCTTTTCATTTTTTATTAATTTCCCAAAGAAGAACCTCAAAAGAAAATCTTTTTGGATTTTTGGAATTAATATCTTAAAAGAAAACTTTTAAAGAGGTACTAAAAAAAGAACTCTTTTCTTTTCTTTTTTTGGATTTTTAGTCTTAATATACTAAAGAAAATATAAAAGCAATTTTTATTTTAAGTTCTAGATATTAATTTCCTAAGGAAAACCACAAAGGATTTTTTTTGAACTTCTAGAGTTAGTATTCTAAAGAGAACATCTAATAGAAATATAAAAACGTAAAATCTCTTTTTTTTGGATTTTTGATTTATTACACATTTTTTTTCACATACAAAATAGGAAATACCATAACAAAGACTCGACATTACTGTACAAAAGTAGAATGTAAAAGGTGACATAAAAGAAAAATAGACTCAACAAAAGAAAAACCTCCTTAAGCAACTCCTGGATGAGCGATCCTGACTGGATGGTCCCGGGGTGTCTGCCATGCTCAAAATCCGGTAAATAGACAACACCTGTATGAGAAAACTTTAACCAACACTATGTGAGATAATAACACTCCCTATTAGACGCATGCAAGACATGATTGAGGCTATTTTTGCAAAATGGCTTATTTGGCCAAAAGGTGGCTAGAAGTACAAAATTTGGCTAAGCCCTGCAAAGCCAAGAACCTAAGATTTGCTAGGAAGACCGGACCCTATGTGGGTTGCCTACGTATCACGCCCTGAAAGACGAGAATCAGGTATGCGTAGTTCGGGAAGATTGGATACGGGCAAGAATTAAAAAAACTAACTAATTTAGAGAAAATATATTTTTGTCTTTTTTTGAAAAATGATGAAACATGTAAACTCTTTTTTGGATTTTTTTTCCTTTTTTTTGGAAGAAAATGGGAAAGTGCAAAATCTTTTTTTTTTCGATTTTTCATGTTTTTTTTTTTGTCTTTTTCTAAAAAATGTGAAAGAAAACATAACTGGGCCCTACTTGCTTTATTTTCACACTTAACCCTCTTTTCATTCTCATTTTTTTTCTTTTTTTTTCATTTGCCCTCAACTATCATTGGTCCGCCAAATGACCATTTTACCCTTAAAAAATGCAACATGTAGCACATAGGATGCATCAAGATGGTCTGTTATTTTGGATTCACCTGTCCTAGACGGACCCAACCCCTGTGTTGAGTCCCCAAAGTCAAATGCACATGATGCAAACAAGCGTTCTTATTAGGGATCCAGCATGAGGCTATGTTATTCTAGGTTTAAAAACCTGAGTTTATTTGTTCTAGACCTGGCTTACCCGAGTGGACAGCTCGAGCCGAGGGGGGCAGCGTACCGGGAATACAGAAGCTTCACCGACTTTGCAACTTGTCCGAACCTCATTCTAAAATTGGGATATGACTCTAACAGAAGAGAAGGTACACGAAGTGCACTCTTCCCAGATGATTTAGAAGACTCAGAGAGAAGAAGGGTTTCGTAACAACTATATACAGTCCAAACAATATCAAAGCGGTAAAAAGCAACAATTAGCACATTAGGCTCAAACATATAAAAATCAGATAATAAATAAAGCCAACTATAACAATTATTCTAAGCTCTAATTCTGAACCCTGAACCGGAGGTTCTGGGTTCTTTTCCCCAGCAGAGTCGCCAGAGGTGTCACACCTCCTTTTTCCTACCCCTGGAAGGGTATAATGGAGTTTTTTCCAATTTAAGTGACAATCGAAACGGGATTATTTATTTAAGATCAGAGTCGCCACTTGGGATAATTTATGGTGTACCAAGTTACCGGTTTAGAATCCCGAATCGAGGAATGTTTGACTCTGTTTTATAGTCCGCGAACACAGAAATCCAGGTAAGGAATTCTGTTAACCCGGGAGAAGGTGTTAGGCATTCCCGGGTTCCGTGGTTCTAGCACGGTCGCTCAACTATTACATTGGCCTAATTATCTGATTAATTACACATTTTAAACCTACGTGCATTTTTAACTTTAAAATCGCTTTTAATTATTAAAGGAATTATTTCAAGGTTATTTAAAACACATCGCAAACCCCGCTACATGAAATGCACCCGTGATTCACGACACGCTCCATTTAACCCTATTGGAAATTTGAACCGGGTCGCATGAAATGTACACCCGGATTTTAAAACCACAATCAGATAACATCTAGTCTAGAATTCAACAAACACACTGTCGAATATGCTTTTCACAACCAAAATGTTGCTGCACTAAAGCAGACACTCATTCTTTTGCCATGCTTTCCTCAATACCAATTGCTTAGATTTCTCTGTTAACCTAAATCTATCAAGACTTCCCTTGACTACAACAAAGCCTATGCTCATAATTCAAAGGAACTGCTAATTTGTTTTGGTAACGTTTTTAGTCCAACCCAAGGGCCAAATTCAAACCCGTTTGAATCATTCTAATTCGTTCCCTTTTTTTTAAAATCATATTTGACCAGAATATATGTTTTATGAAATCAATAAAACTAAATTCAACCACATCATAACAAGAGCATCATTGCAACCTAAAACTTTCATGAATTGACAAACTTTGTCATGGAAACAAAAAGCAACAGATATCTTAAAAAAAAAAAGAAATAGAACCTTAGGAAATCGAATGAGATAAAGAAAAGGAATCTGACTGGAGTCCGGCTCGCCGAAGACCTCACGAACCTCGACTATCCCGACTCAAACTCGAACAGAAAACATAGTAGGGCCGGAACCTCGCCGGAATCTCGAACAAAACTGAACAGACCCAACTCGACTTTGAACCAACGAGAGACTCGACTTGATTAAGACACTTTAGCTATTTTCAGAGACTGTTTTGGAGGTGAGGAGTTGGGCAAAAGAGCTGGATTTTTGAGCTCTTATCAGAGCTTCTGACCAGTTTTCATGGCTCCTCGGAGATCATCATCGCCAAGCCACCGCCAGCGACCAGATCCAGCGAGCGAAGAAGGAGTTTGACTTTAACAATGGTTCAAACCGATGAAGCTGATCGTCTTTAAGCTCATAAGGTTCTTTTTTTGGCTTTCATTTTTGAAGAAGAAGCTTGAGGGGGTCTTGAAACGTGAAGGAGCAAAAGCTCCAAATCCGATGGGGAAGGGAATCGTTTGTGCTCAGCGGCGGGTGCTGTGTTGTGTTTAAGGGTCCTCTAAGGTTTTTTAATAAGGAAGACGATGGAATCCAGAT